AAACAACAAAAAAAACCCTTTCTTCTCACTTACCTACATGTTTACCCTCTCTAGCACCCTCTATTCTTTAGTTTAGAAACAAATTTTTATCTGGAATCATTTTCCTTCCACTTGAAAAACTTCTAACATTTCTTGAAGTGCAAGCCTACTGGTAATCAGCTATCTGAGCTTTTGCTTGATAAACTTATTTTGTGTTCATTTTAAAAGATATTTTTGTGGTATACAGAAATCAAAGTTGATAGTTTTCTTTCAGAACTTCAATGATGTCACTCCATTATCTCATATAGACCTCCAGTGGCTTCAAATGCTACACTCTGAAATCCTTGCCCACATTTGTAGCAAGGATAAGTATTCCATGACTGTTCTGTGCACTAATTGAAAGTAGAAGAAATTCTAAAGTTCCTAAAAGGCTTGGGACTCCTCTGATGAACAATTCTTGAGAACTACCTAGGGTCTTGCCCAAATTTATTTAGATTGGACGACAATATGATGCTTCCACCTATTTTTCCTTCCATCTCACCTTTACTCCACGAGATTAAACCAATGTCATGGTCTGGAAGCTCTCCCAGATATACCCAGATCCCTCTCCATTTCCTGTCACACAATTGCCCTAATTAAATCTTTGTAAATTTTATCTACTTTTGGCATCCACTTTTAAAAAACCACCAGTTAGCACAGCTGTTAATATAATTCATACTTTTTTATTTCAGATATTATATTTTCATCTCTAAATGTGCCATTTATTTTTCTTCCATTTCATTCTTCATTTACCATTTTTATCCACTACTTCTATCATCTATGCTATTTCTTTCTTTCTTTCCTTTTTTTTTTAAGATGTTGATGGGCCTTTATTTTATTGATTTATTTGCATGTGGTGCTGAGAATCGAACCCAGTGCCTCACACGTGCTAGGCAAGTGCTCTACCACTGAGCCACAGCCACAGCCCCATCTATGCTATTTTTGAGTTTGTTTCTATTGACTATTCTCCTATGTATGGGATATAGTATAGAACTCTTTGACATATATAGTAATTTTTTATTTGATGTTGAATATTTGAAATGTTATGCTACTGACTAGAAAATCTGGACTCTGCTATGGTAGGCAGTTAACTTTTGTGTCAGTGTGAACCCTAAAACCTGTTTTTAAGGCTGAAAACGGAGCTTAGTGGAAAAGCATTTGCCTAGCACGCCAAGAATATCTGGGTACCCTAGGTGCAATACAGCATGCCTGTAATCCCAGCTACTATGGAGGGTGAGGCAGCAAAGAAGGATCTCAAGTTCAAGGCCAGCCCCATAACTCAGTGAGACTCTCAAA